AGGGTTAATGCTGGGATTTTGCTGCTGCCCGTGACTAGTGTTAAAACAGCACCTGAAGGCCAGAACGTGCTCCCAAAGATCTCGTTTCCATCCTGGAGTCCTGTAAGAGAAAGTGAAAGGAGGAAAACCCTCTCTCCTGCCTTAGATGGAAGTGCCCATCCTGTTCCTGGTCCTGCTGTGACATTTAGCCCTCTTCATAGAGCAGAGGTTTTCAGGCCCTTCACCTGCACATCAGCCTGCTCTGTGGCATTTTTAAAGGCATTTCTTAGTGTGTTTGCAGGGGAAAAAAAGCTTTGAAATGGGACTTGGGGTGTCTTAAGGACCTGAAAGCAGATAAATCTCCCCTAACTATAATGACTCGCAAGTGAGTAGCTCTGCAGCAGCTGCTGGCTTGTTTCACTCCCAAGATCTCCCAAAGTGTTGGAATTGCTGGGGATTCTGCTGATGCCGGGTTAGGCATGCCTGGAGTTTGATTTGGGCTGGTTGCTTTGTTTGTTTGGTTTTTTTAACACCAAGAACCTAAATTCCAATAGGGCAGTTTGGGCATTAAACCCGAGCAAGTGCCTTCACACGGCCCCTGGTGCCCTGTGGGACTGGGATAAGCCCAGGAAAGGAGAGGATCTGGCTAGTGAGGAAATTCACGTGCAATTCCTCGCTGTCATTCCCTGGTAACCGTGTTCCTCAGGCCCTGGGGTTACCTGCAGATACCGCAGTTATCTCTTGTCAGGCTCTTCTTTATCTGCAGAGGAGAGGCAAGGGCCAAGTGTGTGGTGGGAGTTCCCTGGAGCCCACACCCAAAATAGCGAGTGTTACTGGTGCTGGGTGGTCTGGGAGGGGAGCAGGCATGTGGATATCTGTGGAGTTCTGCACTCGGGGTATTGTTCTTCCCAGTTAAACTCCAAACCCTCCCAGCTGAAGGCTTTGATGGATGAAGATAAGCACCTTACAACTCGGGAGAAATGTGAAGTTAATGTTAGATAAACAGCCATAAATTGCTATCAGCCATTCGTGTGCTGGGAGAGGAGATGAGAAAGGGAAGAACAGGCTGACAGAACTCCCTGGAACTGGCTGGTGGTGCCGCTGCTCCGAGGGGTTTGACACGGGAACAGGCGCTGGGCTCGCTCTGCTTCTCACAGGCTCTTGGTGCTGCTGCTCATCCTCTGTGTTGGCCTTGTCCTTCCTGCTCTGAGCCCTCTGATGTGCCTTTTTCTGGGCTGGCCCCACGTTTATGGAGGCAGCTCCTATTTATAGGAGCAAGCCCAGGTTCTGTATGTGCTGTAGGAAGTGCCGAAAAGGATGTGGATCCTGTCCCAAACAATGGAGTTTTGGGGGGTAACTGAGGCTGTTCTCCAGGCAGGAGGGGATGTGGAAGTTGCTGGGGGAGGTGGGTTTGGTAGCTCCTGGGGAAAGGGCAGCTGAGAGTGACAAAAAGGGGGGGAGAGGGGTGGGATGTGGTCAGGTTGGGCAGAGGGAAGCTGATGCTGGCCTTCATCTCCCAGAACTGCCAAAAATCTAGTGGTGACCCTTCTTCCTGCTGTCCATCCAGGCATCTGCCAGAGGAGACTGCTCTAACTTCTCATCCCGCTTTACAAAAACCATTCCTCGAGGCATATTCCTGGCAGGAATTTGGTAGCACTGCACAGGTGGTCCCCTTTCCCTGTGACATGGACCCCCCCTCCCCTTGGCATGCTGGAAAAAATCCTTTTACTTTCTGGGTTGTTGGGGTTTTTTTTTGCCACCCTTAAAATACACCCTTGCAAGGATCTGCTTGAATAAAGTTATCTCTGTTCTTCCTCTGCCTCCCTGGAGCTGCCAGGAGTCTTGTAAAACAGTCTTAATCCAGTGTTTTATGTGCTCCCTGGTAAAGCTGTGAGTGAGTCTGCGTAGGGAAGGGACTTCTTGGGAATAGGTTCCAGCCCAATTCTCTCTCTCTCTCTCTCTCTCTCTCCCTCTCTCTTCCTTTTCTTCCCCAATCCTTGATGCAGCCAGTGAGTCACCGGTGACAAAGTCTTAATTGTGTGTGATGATGAATGGGATGCCCTACAGGTAATTGCTTGGTCTTTGGTGCCTTCCCATCCATTCATTATAGAGCAGAAGGGTGGGGAGAAAGCTGGTGGACTCTGATGTTGCTTGTGAGTGCTGTGGCCTGGCTCTGAGGTGTATGACTGGAACAGCCATGCCAATTAACTCAAATTACCATCTGCTGCAGAACGAGGTGGAGGGGGGGGGGGGGTAGGTGGGCTTCAGCCTTCCTCCCCCCTCAGCCCTAGCTGTGAAAATGCCCCACATCCACCTTTTGCAGCACCAGCCTCGGGCTGTGCTTTCTGCCTGCCTGGTGTATTTTTTTTTTCTTTATTTTTTTTTTTCCCTTTCCTCCCTTTTGTCTCCTTTGTGTTCCTGGGTTTTTTTTCGCCCTGGTTGCTCGTGCACCTCTCAGAGCGCCTGCCCTGCGGGTGCTGAGGAGGAGGAGGAGGAGGTGGGGCTGCAGGAAGGTGTCTTGACTTGACTGCGGGGAGAAGCACAACCACGGGGAGCTGAGCTGCTGGGAAGGGCTGGAGAGGCAGCTGGTCCCTGCTGGGGGGAGGCAGGAGGCTGGTGTTGGCACGGGCTTGTGCCCCCCGCTCAGCCGGGGTGCCACGGCTGCAGGGGGCCCCAAAAAGGCTCTTTGAAAGGGGCTGCCCCGTGTGGTGGAGCAGATGTCAGTGTGGATGGTGGGATCCCTGTCGGGTCAGAGGGGAGGGAAGCTGCCTGCCCCAGCTCCCCTTGCTGTCTGAGGCTCCCTCTGGGTGCTGGTGGAGTGCCATCTCTCTCAGGAGTGGAGCTGGTGCTGGCAGGGCCATGCACGGCAGGTTTCTTCAGAGAACTGTGGAGTGGTTTGGGTTGGAAGGGACCTTGGAATCACAGAATCACAAAATACCCTGAGTTGGACCCACAGGGATCGTCCAAGTCCAACCCCTGGCCCTGCACGGACACCCCAACAATCCCACCCTGTCCCTCAGAGCGTTGTCCAAACATTCCTGGAGCTCTGGCAGCCTCGGGGCTGTGACACTGCTCTGGGGAGCCTGTTCAGTGCCCAACCACCCTCTGGGGGAAGAACCTTTCCCTGGAATCCAACCTAAACCTTCCCTGTCACATCTCCAGCCCTTCCCTCGGATCCTGTCCCTGCTCACCAGAGGGCAGAGATCAGCACTCGCCCCTCCTAAGGAAGCTGTAGACCTCAAAGACCACCTCATTCCAACCCCCAGTGGCTTTGAAGGCGCTGCTCTCCCTGTCCCTCCCCTTACCCCAGCCCTGAAGCTCAGATTTGGGCTGTGCAGGGCTCACCTTCTCCTGAGTGTGAGGTGCTTTGGCGCTGTGGAAAGGCTCAGCACCACCCCAAGGGCTGCTGACTGACTCCCTTGGGGCTGGCAGACAGATGAGTGTGAGAACACGTGGGTAACCTGTCTGCAGCAAACCTCTCCACGCCTGGGAGCAGCTAAGGCATGTGCAGCTTCCAGAGAGGAGCTGTCACAGCCCTGTTTATACCTGGGGTGGTTTTTGAGCTCAGGTATGCAGGAGAACAGGGCTCACCTCGGTAATGGATCTGTAGCTGGGATAATATATTGCTGGACTTGCCGGGCTGGATGGGAGGCCGAGGCCCATAAATCCAGGGTTCTTCTCCAAGGAGGACAAATGTTACACCTTGAGGAGGAGGTGTGAGAAACAGGGGGATTTGAGGATGAAATACGTTCTTAAACTTTGTTCTTAACCTTCATTTGTACTTGTCGAGTACAGGCAGCACAGAATCTGCTTCCCTTTTCCTGCTTGACAGGTGAGTCTGGTGCTGAGCAGGAGGGTCTGACCCCAGCCTGCCTGCTCCTGTGGCAGTGGGAATGGCCCTGTTCCTACTGGGAATGTCTCCTTGTAGCTGCCTGCTCCTACCTGTGGCAGGGACAGTGAGCAGGACTTTGGCTCGAGATCGTTGTGGCCCTCGAAGCTTCTGGATCAGGACCGAGTGCTGAGCTCACTGCCCTGAAATCCTGGAGTTAGGGCTTCAAAACCAGGCAGGATTGATGACAGGTCAGCAGACTTGCATTCCCCCTACCCCCCCGCCCCCAGCAGGCTTTTTTACCCTCCTCTTTGAACTCTGCAGCCTCAGATCTTTGCAAGGTGCCTTCTGCAGTCACCAAGGGACAGGATGGAGGGATTTGGCAAAGAGGAAGAGTCTCTGTGCCTGAAGGCTCTCACAGAAGCCTGCAGGGGAGCACAATGCACTTGAAGGGCCGTGCAGGGCAGAGGCCACTGAGCTGCAGTGGCAGAGAACTATTAGAAATGGTTCATTCTCGGGTGGGATGAAGTCTGCTCTGTGCTTTCCTCCTGTCAAGCACAGGAGCTGTGGTGTGAACAGTCTCCTTCCCTGCCACCCCCAGAGGGGTCTACCTAGCTGCCTGTGAGCATCCACTCAGCTAGGGGCTGCAGTTAGTGGCCACTAACTCTTGTGGCCAGGACTTATTTTTATGCCTGAAGTTCGGATGAGTACAGGGGGATGGGCTCCTCCTGCCAAACCCTCCTTGTGTTTTCCCAAATCCAGCTTGCAAGGGTGCTGTTTGGTAATTTAGAGGAACATGAGTTAACTTTGACATCTCTGTGTGCAGCATTATCTGCTCTGCCCTTGTGTGTTCCCAAGGTACCAGACTCCCTTCTTTCCTCTACCCAACCCACCTCCCTCCTCCTGCCCCCGTTGGAGGCTCCTGTGCTGCACTTCAGAGCATCTCCCGTGGATGGACAGCGCTCTCTTTAGCTCTGGAGCCTTCCCCAGCCGGGACTTCCAGCCACTTTACCGTTCCTTTTATTTTTTTTTTTCCCATTCAGAAGCGCTTTCTTCTCCCTCCACACTTCTCCCCGCTGAGCTTTCCTCGGGAGCCGGGCAGACCCTCCCTCAGCAAGAGGGCCCTCACGAGCTCTTCTCTCCTTTTTTTTTTTCTCCCCCCCTCTCCAAAGGTGAGAGTCTGGCGCTACCTGAAGGGCAGGGACATCGTCACCCACGAGATCCTGCTGGACGGCGGGAACAAGGTGGTGATCGGCGGCTTCGGGGACCCGCTGATCTGCGACAACCAGGTGTCCACGGGGGACACGCGGATCTTCTTCGTGAACCCCGCCCCGCAGTACCTGTGGCCCGCGCACCGCAACGAGCTCATGCTCAACTCCAGCCTCATGAGGATCACCCTGCGCAACCTGGAGGAGGTGGAGCACTGCGTGGAAGGTGAGGCTGGGCTGTCCCCGCATCTTTTGGGCCCCCGTGGCCGAGGGAGCTTGGTGGTGCTCTTGGCCCCCGGAGAGGAGGAGGAGGATGAGGGGACACCTCGTTGGCAGGCTAAACGTGGTGGTGGGGAAGAGGAGGGGCAGGCACTGAGCTCTGCTCTGTGCCTGGGAAAGGTTTAGGTTGGATCTCAGGAGAAGGTTCGTCCCCCAGAGAGGGTGGTCGGGCACCCCCCGCCCCGGGGGTTTGGTCACTTGGTGCCCCCAAAGCCCTTTGCTGGGCTCTGAGTACGTCCTGAGAGCAGATGAGTAAACACGGGGAAGGAATGCAGGAATTCTGCACAGACAACAAATAAACAGGCGGGTTTGGCTCCCTCCTCCCCTTGGACGTGCAGCAGAGAGGCCATAACCCCTTTTTCCAGCTGTGAGTGCTGACAGGGGTAAATGACCCATCTCTGGGGCTTGGGAGAGAGCTGGTTCAGCAGAGTGGCTCCCAGAGTGGGGTTTGTGAGCAGGAAGAGCACTGGAGGCTTTCTAAAAGAAAATAGATATATATCTGTAATGGCTGGTGTGTATTTTTGGGGGCTGGAGAGGGCTGGAAGACAAAGGACATGTGTGGTGGACCCGAATTCTCCAGACTGGTGGAGACCTGTCCAAGGGGGGGGTGTTGTTGAAAAATGACAAGAACAAGGTGAGCTTGAGTTACTGATATCTCAGGTGGGTTACAAGTGTTGCTCAGGGTGGATGTGGTTCTGATTTTGGCATCCACCTGTCTTGGCAGCTGCTTCACTTGCCTTGGCAAACCCACTTTTTTTTTTGTCACGTCCCACGGACTTTCTGCTCTTCCCACATCTTGGTCCTTTGTGTATCCTGCAAAGCTGAGCACGAGCAGGATTTTTGCAGAGAGCGTGGACCAAATTCACCCCCAGAACTTTGTTCTCCCTTGAGCCCTGTCGAAGCTCAGGCCACCCCTGAGGTCTGTGGAAGTCCCTTTCAGCTCCCCCATCACTACACCTGCCCACCTGGCTTCTGGAAAGCCCTGCAAAACCAGGCCTGAGAACCTGCTCCTGCCACCCTGGGAACGATTTCTGAGCTCCCCAGTCTGAGAATTTAGCTCCAGGACTTGTTTCCCATCAGCTCCTCACAGGAGGGGTTCAAAGCGAAGCTGCCCAGGACGCTGCTCTTTGCTGCACTTCTGAGTTTAAAAAACAAACCTTTGAGTGCTTTTGCAGAAAGAATTGGAGGAATGGCAGCAGCTGAGTGGAAAAACACGAATGTTTTGAGTATCTTCATCTCCTGTTGCTCCAGCTTGGAAAAATCCTAGACATCCAAATCTTGCCTGTCTTAAGAGGGGAGTTCAAACCAGGGCATCTCTGTGAAACAGCTCAGGTCGGGGTGAAAAACACCGTGATTTGATTATACTTAATTGTGGTAAAAAAACCCTCTTTGGCCAGCTGGAGTCGAAATGCAAGACTCCAGCTGAGCTCTGCAAACTGGCTCCAGCACTTTTGAGGGGGGTCTGGAGGGGGAGTTTTCGGTACTGAAGGGCAGAAGGAGCAGCTCTGGGGCTGGGACGCGGGTTGGGAGCGGGCGGAGCAGGATGTTTGCTCTGGTCGCCCACCTTTGTGGGGGGGGGAAATATGGAAAGAGGACAGTGGGAGTGGATTTCCTCTTGTTATTTGGGACATCTGCATGAGGTTTCCCAGGGAAATAATCAGCCCTGAAAGCTGCAGTCTTGCAGTGTTTGCTGCTGGAGTTGCTGGGCAGGTAGCAGAGCATCCCGACTCTCCTCTCCTGGCTCTCCCCTGACACCACCAGCCACGCTGCTCTGCAGCTCAACAGCTGACTAACCCTGAGATATCTCTCCCCTGTGTGTGTGTGTCTCACATTTCCCTTTGATCACGACAGCACTTGAAGGAAATCAGGATTTTTGTGCGCGGCGACTCCTTGCGGGGCCGTCCGGGTGGAAGGAAGCTCAGATTAAAAACCCCTCGTTAGCTCCTGGGTTAATGAGACCCCAGAGCTCCTCTTGGGCACCGCCTGGCCGTGGCACAGTTTGCATTAGCACTGGTGTGGGATCACCTTGGCGAGCCCTGGGATGTGTGTGCGGGCTTGGAAGCTCCTGGGAAAAGCCCGCCTGAGTTGGGTTTTTGTGGGGCTGGGTGATGTTTGGGCACAGTGACTGAGGGTCCTGCTGGTGGTTTGGGACTTGGAAAACAGAGCCAAGTCAGGGGGTGGTTAAGCCTGTTGGCCAGGATGGATCTGCCTGTTTTGGGGCCAGTGTGTGGGTGATGCTGTGCCTCCCTGATGGGAATTACTCCAGCAAGGCTGAGCACTGACCCTCTCTGTGTGTGTGTGTGTGGAGCAGTTGTCCCAAATCCTGCCAGGGCTTACCTGCTGCCTTCCCAGGATGCTGGGAGTGTCCATGGCTGGGGCTTCCATGACGTTTGGTGGCTCCTCTGCCGCTCCCCCTGGGTGGGCAGCGAGGTGGGTGGGTGTCGTGCCAGGACAGTCACCTTTGGGGGGTGTATGTCACCCAGCCTGGGAATGGAGGGGGACAAAGTGGGGTCTTGGAGCACTGCTGTGACCACACAGTGGGTGGGCCTGTGGAACTCTGCTCCGTGTGGATGCCCATCACAGAGCTGCTCTGGCTCGTGTTCAGCACACAGTGCACTGCAGATGCTCCATATGTATGAAAAAGTCACACAGTTCCTATTGAAATTCTGGTTTTTGGCCAGTCCAGAACTCTCCTCTGACTTCTTTCTTTCATCTCTGCAGCAACCCCATGAATTACTCCTGTGGAAGAATTTCACCTTCCACATTTCCTCTCCTCCCAAGCTTTCTCTCATGCTTTGCTGCTTTGAGAGCATCTCCCTTTAAGTTCCACTCACCATTCTGTTTTGTCTTCTGCCTGCTCACTTTTATTCTAAGTCTCCTCTCTCTTTCTTTTTAGCCCTCCACAGCACTGAGGCGTTTTGTTCTTGTAAACCAGCCCATGCAAAATTTCCTTTTCAGGCTCCTTGCAGAGGCTCTGAGGAATGCACAGTGGGCTCCTCTCAGCAAGGAAATCGCTGGCACGGGTCCTGCCTTAGGTGATTCAGGCTTGTGGTCACTTCCCATGCCCTGCTCTCCCTGCAGCCCTTCTCCACCCCTGCAACTGTTCCTTTTGAATCCAGCCCTGCCATTTCATTGTGCTCCAGAGCAGGCTGAGGGAGGGGGCTTGGAAGAGGGTTGTTGTGTGGGTTTCTTCTTAAAGGAGGTGTTCGTTTTTTGTGGGTTTTTTTTCCCTTTTTTTCCTTTCCTCCTCTTCTTGGCTCTGTTTTGAATCAGAGATAATGAGAATGGCATCAACACCTCCGTCCCAGGAGGGTGAGAGAGTCAGGCAGCAGCTGTGAAACGTAGGAAAAGGAGAGGAGGGGAGTGGAGAGGGGAGAATCCACCTCTGGGCCCTTCCTGCCCCCCCAGCTCTGCAGCTCAGCTGGATGCTGGGGCTGGAGCAGGTTCCCCGTTGGAGCTGCTGTGTCAGGCAGTGGCACTGGGGAGAGCAGGGGGTTATTTTGGGGGATTTCCTGCTGTACCAGTGATGGATGGAGCCTGCAGAAGCCCCTGGCTGGGACAGGGGTTTGCAGGAGCTGCCTGTGTGGTGGGGGGCTGTTTGCTCCCTCCCTTGCGTGGCAGTAATGCAAAACATCCCCTGGCCTGGCGGCAGGAGCTGAGAGAGTCGATTTGTTTAGCAAATTCCTATGGAATTTTAATCTGGTGTGGGAGGCTACTGGTCTGGGAAGGCTCCTTTGGCCCTGCTTCCCGCTCTGGCACATCCTGCTGCATTTCTCTGCGGGGTCAGGGGGTCCCTTGGTCAGCAGCACAGATGCTGCTGTGACAAGTGCTGGGCCCTGGCCACGTGCTCTGGGTTCTGCTTCTCCTTTTGTTTGCTCCACGGGTATCTTGGAGGGGATGGGGGCTTGAGAGGAGCTGCTGCGGGTTCTGTGCCTCCTCCTGCCCTGTGTTTTCCTGCTGAACTGCTGGATACTGGGTCAGGGCTGGTCTGGGGCTGATGGGAACGCTCAGGGGAGCAGCATTCCCCCTCTTCCATCCTTTTTGTAAGGGTATGAGGCAGAAGAGAAGGAAAAAGACGTGGAGTGGGAAGGGTGTTGTGAGTTCCCAGGGGCTGAAGCATTTCCATGTCCCCATTCTCCGTAGCATCCTTTTGGAGCTTCCCAGTGTGGGATGCTCAGGGGGCTCGGCCAGAGCTGTGGTGCAGCTCTCCCAGACAGATATTTCTGCAGGGAGCTGCTCCACGGGCATGTGCAGCCTTTTCTGGAGGTGCTGGGGATGTGTGGGAGAGAAAAATCCCACTGTGGGGGCAGCTGCTCCCCCCAGGGCACCAGGGAGTGAGAGAGATTGTGGGGACACTTCCCCTGGCAGGCACCACTGGTGACAAAGCTGGCCTGGAATCCGTCCCTCTGAGCATCTCCTGAGTGGAATTCCTGCAGGTTTGGGATCCTCCTCCATCCCTTTTGCTTGGCAGAACTGTTTTTGGGCCTCAGTGATGACCTGTGGCTGCTCTCAGGGCACAGCCAGCCAGCCCCAAGTAGGAATTTGGGTTGGTTCAACTCTGCCACCAACTTGCAGCCAGCTGGGAACTGGGTGGCTCTGAGAACTCGGCTCAGCTTTCCCTCTGGTACACCTGGAGCTTGTGCTGCTGGTCTTGGGCCCTCTCTGGCTAAAAGCTGGGCGCACAGGGTCAGCCTGGGCACCCACAGGACTCGTCCCAGTGGAAAGGAGGTCAGGAAAATGTCTCAGTGCTTGCTTGGTTTTCAAATACAAATCCGGGAGCTGGGATCTGCTGGTGGGGAGGGGACAGAGCTGACCTACCCCAGCCTCGGGGCAGCACTGGGTGATGATGGGCAGCACTGGACAGGCCAGTCTGTGCCCGGGAGCCCCAGGGGCATCTCCCTGCCAGGCGCCTGCCGAAACCGCCGGCACGCCCGCCCGGGCTTGTCC